CAACGCAAAGCATGGCATCGCACATCGGCGCAGAACACCGCACAGCATGTCACGGCGTGGCGCCGGGTTCCGTGGAGGGTAAGTGGATTGTCATCGAGAAGTGTGGGCCGGTCTGGAGTCGTGGCTCCATGTCTAGCTCCTTGGGCTCCCCGAAAAGTTCCACACAAGGCGGGGCTGATGGAGAGCACCCGCTGGCTCTGCTTGCAACGTCGCCTTCTCAAAGCAGAAACAGGGCTCCCGCTTGATACTTCATGAAAACGACGACGCCCCAAAGGGGGGGGCGCTTCTGCAGCCCAAAAAATCAACGAGTCGACACCGAATGTGGAATCACTTTCGATGGTTTTTTCTCGGGGGGCATGTTCTAGATGTTGGGGCATATTCGCAAGGACCCCAAACGCCCGCTCTGCAGCGGGAGCACGAGTTGGAACATCCAGAGGCGCAGAAACGGGGCCAGCGCGTCAGCGGGAACACCAATTTGAATCACAAACCCAAGCGGAAATCCATGTTCCGGGACTCTTGTGTGTAAGAGAACAGTACGCGGAGAGGGGCCGAACATCATCTTGGCGTCGTCAGGGGAGATTAAAGGAGAGTAGTATTCATACTGTGCAAGTCTAGAGGATGGCGAGGAGGAGGAGGAGAGCAGGAGAAGGAGGATCAGATCAGGGGCAACAGCAGGGGGGAGGGGGGGGGGCTGACCCAGGGGGGGGTGCAGCATCGACCCCCGAATTCTCCATCGCCCATTTCTCGCCGATCGGGGCCTGGGTGCCCAGGCCTGCCCAGGAACGCTCGGTGCTGCGATCGGGGGCGCATCGCCGATGCATCGGCGATGCGTCGCCGATTCCGAGTCAATGCCCCCCACCACCCCCTCGAGTCAGTCCCCCCATTATTTCGCCCCCCCTTCATGAGCGGAGGACAGGAAACACTTGTGTAACGTTCGCTTCGGGGAGGGGGGGGGGGGGGCAATCGCAAGCACGGCCACGTCAATCGGCCAGCAGCCCCCTGGCTTCGCCAGGGGCGCTGCCGATGCCAGCCGAGACCCCAGAGGGAGAAAGAGACCAGTGAGGAGGAGGAGGAGGAGGAGGAGGAGGAGGAGGAGGAGGAGAAGAAGGAGAAGGAGGAGGAGGAGGAGGAGGAGGAGGAGGAGGAGGAGGAGGGGGAGGGGAAGGAGAAAGGGAGGAGGGGAAGTCCCTGACACTCAGGAGGATGGGGAGGAGGATGGGGAAGCCCAGGAATGCGATGCCATGATTTTTCGATACGGGGTCCCCAGAAGTCCCGACCATGTCCCCGGAATCGTTTTTTTTGTCATCCTAAGTCGTTGTCTCATGGTCCCAGGACCAGTCGAGGGCCCCCAGAGGTCGAAAACGACGAGCCATTTCCGAGCTGAATGTGTTTTTAGACGCGGGCATGCCTGGGAAGCGGAGGAGGAGGAGGAGGAGGAGAAGGAGGAGGAGGAGGAGGAGGAAGAGGAGGACAGGAGGACGAGGAGGAGGAGGAGGAGGAGGAGGAGGAGAGGAGGAGGAGGAGGAGGAGGAGGAGGAGGAGGAGGAGGAGGAGGAGGAGGAGGAGGCGGAGGAGGAGGAGGAGGAGGAGGAGGAGGAGGAGGAAGGAGGAGGAGGAGGAGGAGGAGGTCACAGGATGATGATGAGGAGGAGGTGGAGCACAGCAGCAGCAGCAGCAGCAGCAGCAGCCACCTCCACCCCGGCCGCAGCGCGCGCCGGCCGCGCGCGCGGCTGGGCCCGCGGCGAGCGGAAGAAGCGCGAGCCGCGTGCGCGCGGCCGTTCGCCGGCCGCTGTCGCGGGCTGCCATCGCCCCGCGAGCTGGGTTAAGCATTACGTCGGGCATGTCCCTCTACAGGAGAGGAACCTTCCAGCATGATTAAGAAGTCTCGGGGCGATCTTGCGTGCTCCTTTGGCGAGTGTGTTGTTTTGGATTATGTTTAGGGGGTTTTCAAGAATCCGCCTGTAGGAGGACATGCCCGACCTAAGTGAAGCAGTAGCGAGGTGTCCTGGCCCAGCAAAAGGTAGTCTGAATGTTATTTTGCGATTCCCACGATATGTTGATAGCATATCTGGCCAAGACCGCTTTGTGTTAGCACACCAGCTCAGCGTTCTAAGATCATCCATATCGATATTCGGACAGGTTTGTTCTAAGAACGCATCGTGGTAGGCCTCTAGGAGTGTCGGGACGGTCGGTCCCTGATCAATTGGGGGCTTCCACGCTGGGGGGGTGCTGGCGGTGCCCACAAGGGGGTGGCGCGAGGGGGGGGTCCTTCGAAGAAGGCGGCGGAGCGTTTCAGAAGGCAGGTGGGCTTCCAAGAGAGGTAGGTGGGCTTCCAAGAAGGCCTCCCAGCGTCTTAGAGGCCTTCTTGGGAGCAGCTGGGCCCTTCTAAGAAGGCCCTTGTCTTCTAAGAACCCCCCCCCCCACACCACACACACGCCCTTCTTAAACCCACTCCCCTCGCGACCCCCCTTTTGGGCGCTGCCAGGGGGGGTGATGACTACAGTCGCGCATAGTAAGGACGCGCGCCTTCATCTAGGGTACCCTTGTGTCCTTGCCTCTGTGGCCCGTCCTCTGCCGTTTTCACTGGTCGCCGCCGCCCAAACAAATCCAAACTTCAGCCTCCAAGGGGTTTGCGTCCTTACCACGCGTCCTTAATATACGTTTTGACTGTAAGGCGGGGTGGATACTCAGACCCCCTCGAGCCACGGGAAAAACAAACAACGGGAGGTTTGGTTTTATTGTTTTGCGGCATCCAGGGACCCTCGCTGGGCCCCAGGATTGCTATAATCAGGAGGGGAAACAAAAACACAGACACAAATAAACGTCGACTACCCAGAACATATGAGAAAATATGGGAAGTGGGGGGGAAGACAAAAACCAAGAAAATGTGAGAAAAAGAAAATGTAGGACAATGTGGGGAATCCTGTTATTTGCGTGTATTTTTTTTGTGTGGCCCCTTCATGTTAAAACGACCCACGATGAACAAGACCTCCCACGAAGAAGACGAAGACCTCCCAGTCGTTGCCTCCTAACCTGGGGGCTTACCAGGCGTGCTGGCGCATCGGCGCCTCGCTGCCAGCTGGCGACGTCCTCGGACCGCGGGCTCCTCCAGCCTTGGCTTTTGTGGAGGGCGGGCGCGTGCGTGGCACGTCAAGCCTGGCGTGGGAGCGTTGGGGGGAGATTGGGAAGACCAGGTGGAGGAATAGTCGGACCGAGGTATCAGATCGAGGTCGGTTCGGGTAGGGTACCCTAGTGTTCTTCGTATGTGTTGGGTGCTCTTGTGCATCCCGGGGAAGGTGATCTTGCATGCTCTGTGTGTTTTGGCCGGCGGAGGTTCTCGTGTTCTTGAGGGATGTTCTTCTGGCCTAGGTCCGATTGTACCTGGATCCCCGCTAAGGTTGCTCAGGGGTTACGGGGGTTCTACGTGCATGCCTGTGCGGGTTATATGATCTTCCCTAATCGAGCTGATCAGTGTGTCACGAATGCCCCAGGCAGCCTGAAGGGGTCACGAAACTATGCTAGCTGGGCTTCTCGACCGGATCTTTGCCCCCCGCGAACCGCGTAGGCCACGCGCAACTCATCTAAAAATTACAGTGGGGACGCATCAAGAAACCATATGCTCTTCGTCAGGGCATCCTGGGTTTCTTCGCTCCTCGCGCTGCGCGGTGACTTCCCGCAGCCGCTGAAGGAGCTGCTGCGTTCAGGGTGCTCCGGGCTGCCCCTCCAGTGCACCTCGCGCGGCGGGTTTTCAGGCTTGGGTTTCTTGCGAGGGCTTCTGGCGGCAGCGCCCGCGCTGTAGGTCGGGCCAGATCAGCTCCACATTCGCATCCACTTATAGGCCCCGCGCAGAGGGGGGTGGGGGGAGGGGGGAGGGCTTCTTTTAAGCACCCCTGCTTCTTAGAAGGCGCGGGCCTCATCTGTAGATGTAAGGCCGGCGCCTTCTGAGAAGCAGCCTCCTTCCAAGAAGCCCTCCCCCCTCCCTCCACCCCCTTGTGCGCGCCGCCAATACAGGCCCCTGCTATCCCCTCGGCAACCTTGGCACGCGCGGAATACGACATGCCTCGGCGGCTTGCGCTGCGGCCTCGGCTGGGGGAGGGCGGGCGCGCGGCACAGGAGGCATTGCGTCGGGCCTGTCCGTTTACACGGGAAAGACATCCCAAAGTAGTAAGACAGTAGTCTGGGGGCCTGTCCCTTTACAGGGGGATCTCCCAAAATAGTCAGAAAATAGTCTGGGGGCCTGTCCCTCAACATGGGGATCTCCCTAAATAGTCAGAAAATAGTCTGGGGGCGATTTTGTTTTACTATTCCTGACTGGTTTGGGGTATGCTGTGCGTATGTTTTATTTTTCGTCCGACATGCCCCCGTAGGGGGGACAGGCCCGACCTGCCGCAAGCATGGTGCGTGGGAGCTGGGAGGGCCCTTTCAAGGGCAGTGTGATGGTCAGGACCTCCTGGCTGAGCGTGACGCGCCGCCCAGTTCTGGCCCACCGCTCTTCAGCGCAACGCGCCGTCCGCGCCCCGGTCACCACGCGTCACCCGCCGAGCTTTTGCCATCCCCCCCGCCCCGCGCGGCCGAGCGACACGCTATAGCCGCTTGCACGCCCTGAGCCAGTCCCCGCCCCTGTCGTTGGCGCGGAGCTCACCGCGCACCGCTGGGCGCAGCGCTCGAAGCCGGGCTTGCCCAGGAAGGCCAGGGCCCGGACCCCGGCGCTACGTTTTCGTTCGCCACGTCGGCCCCCAGAGGTCTCGCCCCGTTCCCTAGGACTGGGTCTTCATCCCGAGGCGGTCCTGCCGCTGCCTCTGGGGGCCCGGCGAGGCCCGCCCCCCCCAGAGGCTGAACACAGCTCGAAGCGATTCCGTCGTATTTGTCCGTCTCGTCGCGACGCCAAGGGGGCCTCGGCTGGTCTGCGCGGGGAGGCAAGGAGCGCAGCGCGGGACATGGGCGGCCCGTGCCGAGGAGGGCCCGCCGGGGCGGGGCGCGAGCGCCCGGCCCGCGGCCAGGCCGACGTCCACGAGCAGGCCCGCCAACGCGACGGACGCCAACGCCCCCGCTGCCGCGGCCAACGGCACCAGCGCCACCACGGCCACCACGTCCACCACCTCCACCAGGACGCCCTGGCGCCCCGGGCCCCTCCTCGCCGCGAAAGCATCTCGCGGCGGGAGGTCGACCTCTGGCCATGCTCGGCCGCTGGGGGCCCCTTCCAGCCGGGCCCCGGGGCCGTGGAAGGCGCAGCTCGAAGAACGGGTCCCGGGGAATGGGTCGAGACTTCCATCGGGGTCGACGCTGTGATGGAAAAGCATGACGTCGGGGTTCTGGGCGCGCGCCGCGCGGGGCGCGCCGAATGTGATCAGAGATGGGCTCGCCCAGCACCCGAGTGGGCTCAGGCGCCAGATGGGCTGGGACGGGGGCTCGGGCCGGGTGCTCTCAGTTGTGTGCCTGGCCCACGTTTCTGTAGACAGTAAATCATGGAAGCTTGCGCTCGCCTTGGATTGGAATGTATATCGGCGAATAGCGCCCAATAGCGCCCAGTAGCTCCGAATGGTGTTTAAATGGCGCTCAGTAGCGACCAATAGCGCCCAATAGCGTCGTATGAGGGAGATGCATTCTGTCTGCGTTGCGCCCGATTGGACGCGCAATTCGGCGCCATGGGGACGACCACAAGCTTCCGACCAAACGCTTCTTTGAGTTGCTTTCTAAGGTTCTGGATGACCGAGAACCGAGATTGTAACAGACAGACCGCGTGTGTTACCAAACAGCAGGCGCAGTCGGTGTTGGAGGACAACCGCTGTTTGGTATCGTATATCTTGTTTCAGAACCTAGTTCGGATGTGTGATGAGGTGGCCCCAGCTTTCCCTACGAGTCTCTCTGAATTACCTATGGACCAACCCTCTCGACACCCCGAGAGAGGGGACTCCGAAAAGGGCGCAGAAAAGGGCGCAGGCAGCCAGGATGGGCACCCGTGGGGCGGACCAAGGACCAGGGCACAGGTGTTCCGGAGCGCTCTCGGAGCATTCCGGAGCGCTGTGAAAGGGCCACGGCGTCAGACGCATCTTACCGTAGGATCTCCGATCTCCGGGATCCCCAACCCGTCGCGGTCCGAGGCTGTCCCGGCCCTGGCTTCGTCTTTGGGGGGCGTCCTCGGCCAGGGCCGTCCCTGGCAGCCTCCGCCCTCGGGCCCGGCTCCCTCGTGCGCCGGGCCGGCGGGCGTGGCGCCTGGGCTCGTTGGGCGACCGCTCCCCCGATCATTGGATGCTGGACCGACGAGATCGGTCGCGACCGATTTTGCTTCAGATTTCGGTAGCCTTCGCCACCGACGTGCTTCAACATCGGGTCGCGACCGATCGGTGGCGAACGGTCGCGACCGGTTTCGGGATCGGTCGCGATCGGTCGCGACCGATGTGGAGTGCCGATCGGTTGCTACCGATCGCGACCGAACAAAAATCGGTATCCAATGATCCGGGCTCTGGCAGCGGAGGAAGAGGTACCGATACCGCGGCTCGTCCAGGAGAGCCCTCGTTGCTACGGCTGGGGTCTGCTCGTTTTTTTGTCACCGCACGGGGGGAGCGGTCGGGGGGAGAACAGTGGAGACCCATGCCAAGAAACACCCTGCTTACCTCCAGGGTGTCTTGGGTTGCGATGGTTTGCGATGGAGGGCACGGCGCTCCCACACCGTAAATCAATGGGCGTCCTGGGGTCCCAGGTCTGGGTTTCTTGTGGAGGGTTCGTTGTGGACTGGTCTCCACTGTAGCGGTCTCGACAGTTCTTGGGTCTTGGTTTGTCCCTCATCGGCGGCGCCTGCCCCGGGTCGGCCTGAAAGCCTGCACCCCTGACCGCGGCACGCGGGGGTATCAGGGATAGGCTGCCCTGCTGTCCAGTGGCAGGCCGTCGAAATTCGCTCGCCCGCCACGCCCCCTGTATCACCGCCCACAAAACCACCCCAACCCAACCCGAAAGCCCCGATTTGCCCTCCTGTTCCAGTGGGGGAGGTGTCGGGGAACACTGAAAAAAACACATGAAGCCGTACCCCCCCCAATGCGAAATTCGGGTCTTCGGGTTGGGTAGGGGTGGTCTGGTATGTAGTCACTGTCGCTCCCTGCCGCGGAGTGTTTCGGCGAAGGAAAAGCTTCGGACAGCCGTCGGATCCCAGAGATCCCCGATTTATCTTGGACGGGCCTGTTTTCCACCACCACCACCACCACCACCGTAAGTTGGAGGAGGAGGGGGTCCTCCTCCTCCTCCTCCTCCTCCTCCTCCTCCTCGTCATCATCATCATCATCAGCATCATCATCATCATCATCATCATCATCATCATCATCATCATCATCATCATCATCCACTTCCTTCCCCCCTCCAACTTATGGTGGCCGTGGTGGAAAACGCTCCCATCAATCATCACACGAATCTATCCTCGTCCTGGCCTCGTCTTCGTTCGGGGACGAAAAATCGCAGCACACACAAAGTTTCAACGCTCCGCGCGGATTCCCTGGATCGGCGCCCTGTGGCGCGCTCTGCGCGCCAGGGCGGGGGGCGGCCTGGCGCCGATGCGGAACATCTGCGCGGCCCTCCCAAAGCGCATGCAGGAGAAATGGCACAGGCACACAGACTTGTCGAAGTCCACAGTTCAAAGATGGGAGCTGGAGGGGAAGACGCACATCCAGGACACCTGGGAAACCTGGGACGTTCTGAAACTTGTGTCTGTGTATGTGCGTGCCCCTGGGCCCATTCGTTGTAGTATTGCCGTCTTGGAACCCTTTTCTGCCCGCCTCGTCACCTTCCACATCCCCCCCTCTCTCTCCTGCCGAGCCGCCCTGCCGGCCGACCCTCTCCCAGGGCTTCGGGGGCAGCGATGCGTGCCTGGCCGTCCTCAGTGCGGCTGGACTCCGTGAACTGCCGAGCACGCATCGCCATGGCAGGGCGGCGAGGTCATTGTACATGGGCACTTTGTCGACATGTCGCTTGACTGGGAACACCTAGGGTCAAGTCGGGCCTGTCCCTCTACAGGAGGACTATTCCAACACCGTCAACAATAGTCCGAGGACGATTTCTTTTAAGTTTTCTTATGACTATTGTTGCAACATTGTTGGCTTTCTTTTTTCGTTCAACATCCGCCTGTGGGGGGACACGCCCGACCTAAACATAGGGGTCTTGCCGTGGTTGTTTTTGTTGGGAGGGGGAGCGCGCCGACGTCGGCCAGATCGGGGGCCCCGCCAGGGACCCCTTGGCATCGTTCTGACGTGTGCATTCTTTCAGCGAGAACCGTCCTCCTCCCTCCTCCTCCCTCCTCCTCCTCCTCCTCCTCCTCCTCCTCCTCCTCTCCTCCTCCTCCTCCTCCTCCCTCCTCTCCTCTTCCTCCTCCTCATCCTCCTCTCCTCCTCCTCCTCCTCCTCCTCCCTCCTCCCTCATCCGCCCTCCTCCCTCCTCCTCCTCCTCCTCCTCCTGCTCCTCCTCCTCCTCCTCCTCCTCCTCGCCCTACTCCTCCATCGAAGAGCATACTGGAGCATCCTGCGAACAAGTAGTTTGTTTACGCCGCAGCGCGGCAGAGGCAGTGCGCACGCGCGTCCAGGCAACCCGGGCTAGGGCGTTGCGAAGCGCCCCGCGTGCAAGAGGAGGGGGGAAATCGAGAGGCGGCCGTAGAGACAGGAGGGAAAGAGGGCGCACTCGCGCGGCGAGGCCCAGCCGAAAAATTACGCGAGCGCGCGGGGCGGCCGGGCCGAAACATTACGCGCGCGAGGTCGAGACATCCCCGGGGGAGCGGACGTCCGAGCGGTGGCGGCGGCCCCTCGCGTGCCCCGCCCTCGCCCCCGGCGCACAGCGCGGGCGTCCAGAGCCCTGTGCGGGCAGGTTCACTGCCCCCCTCGGGGCCCGTCTTGCCCACCGGATGCCGGGAGCCTCCAGTCGCGACCGACCAGGACGAAAGTGTGGAGGGGGAGGAGGGAGAACGAGGGAGGAGGGGGAGGAGGAGAGGAGAGGAGGAAGGCGACCGACGAGATCGGTCGCTGCCGATGCTGCTTCGAGTTGCGGTATCGGTCGCGACGGGGGGGCCCGAGGGCTCATCCCGCCCAGCAGCGGGGGGTGGGCTCACCAACCAACTGGTCCCCCCTCTCGCTCCCCCTCAGGACGGCCCCCAAGACGCCGAAAGTTCGAAGCGCCAGGCGGAGCGTTTCGAACTCGAGCCAAAATGGCCACGGCGCCCGAGAGGAAACGGAGGAGGAGGCGGAGGAGGAGGAGGAGGAGAAAGAGGAGCAGGAGGAGAAAGAGGAAGAGGAGGGAGGAGGAGAAAGAGGAAGAGGAGGGAGGAGGAGGAGGAGGAGGAGGAGGAGGAGGAGAACAAGTTCCGTCTTGATGCTCCATGGGCGGTGGCACCGTTCTCGCCACTCGGCGGTGTCTGGGGGGGGAGGGGGGCGCGGCGGCGCAGCCCCCCGGGGGTGAAGGCGATGGGGTGCCGCCTTTCTCCTGGGGCGAGCGCGGGCATCTCGGGAGGGACCCACTGCGGCTCCAGGGCGGAGCCCCGGCCCCCCTCGCCGGGGAGCCGCCCCCCTCGCCCCGCCCCCGCCTTCGGGACGATCGACACGGGCAAGGGACGAAGTGGCACGATGCCCAGCATTCTGATGTTCCAACCTGCTTTAGCCTGACTGCCAGAAATAATCTCGAGCACCAAACAAATTCAAAACTCGAGGGTTTTCACGTGTCGGGCCCTGGGAGGCACTCGTCCGACACTGTTTCGACACTCTTTCGGCACTTTGCCAGGTGCTCGAAATCATTTCTGGGATGTGGTCCTTAAGTACGATGGGAGCAACATAAGCCCAGCAGCAGTTCCTCTTTAATTCTGAACGGGACTCGTTCTTCGCGCCGCCGCGGGCGCTGCTCTCTGAAGACGAGAGGCCGGCTGCCCTACAGCGCCCGCTGTCGGTTTTGGACAACATGTGCTGTTGGGCAGTGCCCATTTTATCCGTGCCCATTTCGGGTGTCCAAAATTGTTGCGCGCTGCCAGCGGGGGTCCGTTTCGGGCTCCTGCGCCATCCAAGAGTGCCCAGGGGCTAAAACAGAAAGTTCTCCGGGGAGGAGGTCGAGATCTCTTGGGATCCAGCCAGCGGACAGCGTTAAGTCGGGCATGTCCCTCTACACGAGGGCAATTCAAAAATAATAAAGAAATAGCCTGCGAACGATTTTCGATCATATTTTGATTATTGTTAGACTATTTAACAGTTGTCTTCCTAAATCAGCTGGTAGGAGAACACGCCCGACCCAAGGACCGCGCGATGCTGCTGGATCCGTGGTCTCAGGGTTCCTGACTCCTTCCTCTCTGGGGGAAGCTTCCCGTTCCCGCCGGATTCCCTGATGGCCCCAGGTGGGACGATGCTCGCAGCCCCAGGTGCCCAGACGGCCGATCGGCACTCGAACTCGGTCACGACTGATCGCGACCGATCGAAAAATCGGTCGCGACGGGTCGCCACCGATCGCGACCGATCGGTCGCGACCGATGCTGAAGCAAATCGGTCGCGACCGGTACCGAAATTTGAAGCAAAGTCGGCAGCGACCGATCTCGTCAGTCGCGACTGGACAATTCCAGCATCCAACGATCTGGGTGCCCCTGGCCCAGGTCGTCAGAGAGCTCAGGGAGGCCCTGCCCAGCTGGGCGGGCAGAGACAGTCGAGGTCATCGATTCCACCTGCGTGCTGGTCCTCCCCTCCTGGGCCCGTGCTCTGCTCGGAGGCGCCCAAGAGGGGGGGGGAAGTTGTGTGTTGCCATTCTCGGTTTCGGGGGCGCCCACGAGGGGGGCGTCCAACCACGCCCAGATTTTTCAAAATATCGTCCGACGACGCGACGCCCGTGGGCGCCGCCCGTTGGCGCCGCGGGGGCGGGCGCTCGTGGGCGCGCCGCGTGGGCGGCCGCAGACCTTGCACCAACACACATGATCCTTATTATTTGCATTCCCGGTAACATTATTGTTCTTAGCTATTACTTCTGATGTGTCTCATGGCTATTTGGTGATTCGCCTTCTTAGTTCTTAAGGATCGACACCGGTATTAACACGAATATCATGGTTACCACTGTTATGATTGTTGTTCGTATCAGCATTAATACTAAGTTCAGTCGCGTCAGTAGCTGCATGTGTCTTACGATTGTTCTTGTAATTATTCGTAGTCATATGCTTAATACTGTTCCTCCTCCGCCTCCGCCTCCTCCGCCTCCGCCGCCTCCGCCTCCGCCTCCGCCTCCGCTTCCTCCTCCTCCTCCTCCTCCTCCTCCTCCTCCTCCTCATCATCATCATCATCATCATCATCAAACATCCTCCTCCTCCTCCATTTCCTCCTCATTCTCCTCCTCCTCCTCCTCCTCGCCCTCCTCTTATATCGCATCAGTTACTGTATTCTTACTTGTTGTCCTCCTCCGCCTCCTCCTCCTCCTACATCGCACCATGTACTGTTTTCGTGCTTGCTTTCTTTCTCCGCCTCCTTCGCCTCCTCCTCCTCCTCCTCCGCCTCCGCCGCCCCCTCCTCCTCCTCCGCCTCCTCCGCTTCCCCCTCCTCCTCCTCCTCCTCCTCCTCCGCCTCCTCATCCTCCTCCTCTTTCTCCTCCTCCTCCTCCTCCTCCTCCGCCGCCTCCGCATCCTTCTCCTCCTCTTCCTCCTCTTCGTCCTCCTTTCCCTCCTCCACATACTCCCTCCCCTCCTCCTCCACTGCCTCCTCCACCAGATTGAACCGCGTCTGGGCACCGCGGCATTGCGACTCTGCGTGAAAAACGCGTGCTGGGGAAGGGTCGACTCGAGAAAAGGTGATTCGACACAATGGAGTCGTTGCGGGGCCTAGGTCGGCGAAGTGCCTCGCCAACTTTCCTTCTCAGCGAACCGAATTCGAGACCTCCCCGCGAAGGACGACCACCTTCCCCCCCGGGTCGCTGCTTTGCTTCTCGCTGATGGTGCCCAACAGCTACGAGCAGGTGCGCGCCGCCCTTCGCTTCTTTAGCGGACAGGATTTGTTATGGTCTCCAGGGCATGGAACCTACAATGCAATGTAAGGTAGGTTCGTGTCGTATCGACGCGGCTGCGACGCCGCCACAGGCGTTCAAGACTGAACGCCGCCAGCGGCCAAGAATCGGCCAACATGGAACGTCGTGGCGATCAAAATGCCGCCGATCATTCGAGGTTGCGCTGGACCACCTTCCCGCACCCCACTCCCCGTCGCGCGGGGGCAACTCTACGGGGGATCAGCTCGGGGGGGCCGCATGAACCCCAAATCGCCGATGGATCGCCGATAGGGGCCCGATAACCCGCCCCCCCGCCCAGGGAGGTGAGGATTTGCTACTGCAGGCTTGTTCGGTGATGCATCGCCGATTTCAGCTCGATGTTCGCATCCCCCCCCCCCCCCTCCCCCGAAGCGCACCGTGGGCGCCGCGCGGCGCCTGAGGCGCCAGCCAGGGGTGCAGGGAGGGGAAGCCAGCGCCGTCGGAGGAACGGCCCGAGGACATACGTCCGGGGCACGATGTGCATGTTTAGATTGGGTTGATGGACTGAGGCTCGGAGGAGGAAAAGGTACCCATACCTCTACCCTTGCCTCTTTCTCCCCTCTCTGGGCCTCCTGGGCGACCCTCGTCGCCACCGCTTGATTCGCTTCGAAAGTTTAGTCGGAACGCACCCCAGCAGAGGTTCGGGGAGTAGCGGTAGCAGTACCTTGGTCTCCCCAGAGTTGGCCCAGCATTGGTTCTGTTCAAACAGAAAGGGGGGAGAAAAGGGCCCCCCTCATCGCCACGGCTGAACGCGGCTCGAGAGATCTAGTCAGTTTAACTCAGCACCGGCCCCGGGAACGAGTTCGTGCGAAGCTGCCCCATATCCAACCTTCTTGCTTCATGTTCCCGGGACCTATCCAGCTCAGACCCCGCGGCCGCTTCGAAGTGTGCGTGTGTGTGTGTGTGTGTGTGTTGTTTCTGTTGAGTAGTCAGGGATCTCTCCATGCGACCTGCAGTCCGGACGCTGAAGCAAGGACAACTTTTCTGGGTTCGGCAGGGACTCGGGCTTTCGGGCCGTTCCTTAGACCTGGGCCGGGGGACGGACTTTCTCGTGGCCGAGCCCCTTCGTCTTGTTGTTGAAGCGTGCCTCGTCGCAGCACGACGACTGTACGCCTTCAGCAGCCAGGTTCCCCGGCAGCGTCTTGTTTGTGGCAGCTGAATGCAATACGAGTGATGATGAGAATTGTGGATGCTTCGCCATCCTCCCTCCCCCCTCCTCTCTGGCATGGTGCCGCCCTGTTTCACGCCGCGGCGCAGATCTGGCAAGCGCGTGCTGCTGCGACAGCTGACCGGGTCGGCCGCTGAAGATTGACCTTCTCGGCAGGACAGGAGCCTACCAGGCAGGAGCATACCCACACAGGGCCGCCCACTCGTGGTCAGAAGCACCCACCTCGAGGAGAATGTCCCAGCAAAGCCGAGTCCCCTCTTGCCCTTCGGTCTGTCGCAGCGGTCTTGGCATCTCCTCGGGTCGTCGCGAGGTTGTCCAGGCGGTCTAGGACCCCAGGGAGTAGGGCAAACACAGAGTGAGGGGGCCGAACGGTCTTACAACCTTACATTGTCCTAGGGTGCGCGGCAGACGTGGAGGCCCGCGGTGCGGATTATCGCTGTTCTTGTTCTTGTCGTCGTCTCCTTGCGACCCGCCTTGCGACTCAGCCAATCCGCGAGCCACCCGCGACCGCCCGCGACCCACCCGCGACCCGACCCACTCGCCGATCAACTCGTGGCCCGACCCACCCGCGAACCACCCGCGGCCCGACCCGTCCGCGACGCCGCGGCCCACCCAGGCGTCCCCCGAGTAAGTCGCAAAACCGGCGCCCCCGGCGAGCTGCTTGCCACTGGCCTCGCAGGACGCAGAATCCTGGGCCTCCGCCCTTGCGACCGGCCGACGGCACGCCCCGCGGCATGCCAGGACCTGCTGCTGATGCAGCACTACATCGGCGCCTCCATCTTCGGCTGCGAGGAGGCCATGCGGCCCCGACCCGATGGGCGAGACATGACGCCTGCCCAGCGAGGAGGCGAAAGGAAGGTGCCGACTGCGAGCCGGCGGCGGCAGGGAATCGAACAGGCGAGAGGAAGCGGTCGTCGACGGAGGCGCACGGGAGGGGGGGGGCTTCGAGAGGAGCCGGTGAAGACCCCGCGACCACGTGGGGATATTCAGGCTGCGGCGATGCGGCAAGCCTGGCACAGGCATGCGGTACACACTCAAGGTGTTGTCTTTGCACCCAGACCCCCGACGTCATGAGTTTGTGCACAACGCTGACCCCGGAGGCCTCGACCCAGTCCCCGGGGCCAGCTTTCCATCCTGGGTAAGATTTCTGTCAGTCCCGGAGCCCGCTCGGTAGCGACCGATCGGCACTCCAAATCGGTCGCGACCGTTCGCAACCGATCCCAAAATCGGTCGCGACAGGTCGCCGCCGATCGCGACCAAGTGGTCGCGACCGACCGGTCGCGACCGATGCTGAAGCAAATCGGCCGCGACCGATACCGGAATCTGAAGCATGCTCGGCAGCGACCGATCTCATCGGTCGCGACTGGAAAATTCCAGCGCCCGACTATCGGGGCGGGCAGGTTTCTGCCAGTCTTGGGGCCCCGCGAGGGGCCCCCGAGGCCGAAACTTGCGAAAACGTCTCCCGTCGTGCGTTCGTTCGCGACGCAGAGGGGGCCCGGGGATCCGAGGTCACCTCCCCGCTGGGGGCGCGGAGGGGGCACCCCTGCCAGATCATCGGATACCGACTTCTTGGTTCGGTCGCGATCGATGGCGACCGATCGCCGTCCCAGATCGGTCGCGACCGATTGGTTTTTGCAGCAAATCGGTAGCGACCGATCTCGCCGGCCGTGACCGGAAAACTCCAGCATCCAATGATCAGGGAGGCCGAAAATTTATCGAAAACACCTCCCGTCGTCTTTTCTCGCGGCGCGAGGGGGTGCGGGATCCGAGAGGCCCCCCCGCCCTCCCTGGTCGTTGGATGCTGGAATCTGCCACTCGCGACTGGCGAGACCGGTCGCTCTACCGATCGCGACCGAAAAATGGGGCTGTGGGCACAGAGGGGGCGCCCCTGCTGGATCTCGAAGCGGGCGGCCACGCAGCGCGTGTCGGCCGGGGGGGGGGCCGCCGCCGCCGCGGCCTCGTCGTCGCCGACGTCGGCATGGCCCGCGTGTGTTTTTCCACCCGTCGTGTCTTGTGGAGCACATGGTAGTGAATCATTGTTGGGACATCGCCGGCGCCCCCGCCCGTCTCGCCGACGACTTCCGCCCTGGGGGCGGTGCAGGGCGGGCACGGGAGTCGTCAGTCCGCGCAGGGCGCCTTTGACCCCCGTGCCTGCAGCACATGCTCGTGCCTGCGCACCGTCCGGCGCAAGGCGGCCTGGCCTGAGCTGACCCGTGTCTCGATCACGACGCCAGGATGTCTGGGGGTGCACGTGCAGGGGCCCGAGAGCCCCGCCCCCGAGGGCCCCCGAAGGCCTCCGCCAGGGCCTCCCCGGAGGCACCTGGAGAGAGTTCGTGGGCGCGAGGGCAGCGATATAGAGGTGCGCTGTGCGGTCCGCGCTGGGCGTTGCGCACAGTCTCAACCCGCACTCCGAGGACGAGCGAGTTTTCCAAGGTTGCCCCTGCACCCTTGCCCCTTAGGCCCATCCTCAGCAAACTTCCCTGGCCAGCCCCACTCGAGAAACGTCGGCATGGCTTTCCAGGGCCCTTGCATCCTCACCGCGCATCCTTGCGACACGGGTTGACTGCAGTGGCGGGGCGGTGCATGAGGCGTTCCATAGGGCCTCGGCTGCGAGGGTCGAAGGCGTGGGCATCCCTCCCTCGGGAGGCGGCGGAAGCGGTCGGCGGAAGCCGGCGGGCGTCAGACAGGGGGCCGGCGGAGGCCGGCGGAAGGCCGGCGGAAGGCCTCGAAGAAGAAGAAGAAACGCCACGAACATAAATTTTGGGCGCTCCGCGCGGATGTCTTGGATCGGCGCCCGGGCCCCCTCGGCGGCGCCTCCGGCGCCGTGGCGAGCCCACCCGGCACGGCCCCCCCGGGGGGGCGAGCGGGCGCGCCGGCGCCCTGGGCGGCAGGATTCGAGCAGTGGCGAAGCGTCTTGGCTCGCCTATTGTCCTACCAATCAATGTTCTGAGAACCTTGTGTGGTTCCCACGAAATGTTCTTAGAACATTTCTGGTTGAGATTATTTTGTTTTATCACATCGGGTTTATGTTCTAAGAATATTGTTTATGTTCTTAGAACATGCTTGGGTTCTAAGAAAATTTCGTGGTAGGACTCTAGGAATGCCAGGACGGTCGGTCCCTGCTCAAAGGATGGGTCGGCGGCGGAATCCGAACCCCACCCTCGCCTTATGATGTCCCAGCCTGCTTTAGCCTTGACTACCAGAAAGAATCTCGAGCACCAACAAAATACCGGAACTCGAGGGTTTTCACGTGTCGGGCCCTGGGGGACACTCGTCTGACACTGTTTCGACACTCTTTCGACACTTTTCCGGGTACTCGAAATTATGTCTGGGATGTGGTCCGTAAGTACGATGGGAGCAACATAACCCACGCCTAGGCCTGGAGGTTGGCACCAGCACCAGAATGGTGTGCATCCGTTGGGGGAAGATGACCCCGATCTCGGTGATAGTGGTAAGGTTCGGGTTTTCTTTGGGGCAGTTAAAAGATTACCACCAGCGCCAAACTCCAGGATCGCCTGCCCATCGTGGAAGAAGACCCCGGTGTTGGTGCTGGCGTCAACTTCCAGGTCCCCGAGATCAGCCATTCGGGCAGCCCGATGGGCGGCGGGGGCAGGGCTCGGAACTCGTCGATCGCGCGGCGAAAGCCGAACCCCACCCCCGCCGCCCATCGATTCGGGAGAGTCGGTGGTTGGGGGGCTTGGCATCGCTCGGACGTGTGCATTTTTCTTTCGGCGAGGACCATCGAGGAGCATCCTTGACCATGTGGCGAAAAAAGCACGCACGAACCCCCCCCCCAAAAAAAAGCACAGGGAATGGACGTCCGAGCGATGGCCAGGGGGGGGGGGCGGCAGGGGTTCCGTCGTCGCCACTTTTCGTAGGGCGCGGAGGACGCAGACCCCCTCGCGTGGTGAACATGACCACGACGGTTCTGCTTCGTCGTCGTCGTCGTCGTCGTCTACTTCGTCGTTGTCGTCGTCGTCGTCGAGGGAATCTGGGGCTCGCGCGAGGTCGTTCGTCATCCTCGCCGGACCCTGGGGCCGCCGAACATCGACCATCGGAGGCGGCGATATGGGGGCGCACAGCACAGGGGGGGGGGGGCAGTACACGCATTCGCCCAGGAGCCTCGCCGAAGGCACGGACCATCGACGCCCCTGGGTAGCTACATGCGTTGCTCTCCCCTGGGCGATTCGCCCCCGTCGTCGCCCCCGAGTCCAGGGATGAGGCGCTGGTCCGGGGAACTGGGCCGAGACCTCTGGACGGGAGGTTGGTGCCCGTTCTCAACTTCTGGGGGGCCCTCGCTAGGCCACGCGGGGCCGCCAAAAGACGACCCGGGAATGGGTCGAGACCTCTGGAGGTCCAATGTTGTGTCAAGATCCTGGCGTCGGGGGTCTCAGTGGGACAGGCCTGCCGTGGAGGAGGTGGGGGAGAAGCACGTGCGGCCCGCTCGTGGGGTGCAGGTTCTCTTGGGCTGCCAGGTCCCGAAGCGCGCTCCCGCCTCCACAGTCGATGGCCTCCTGCACCACCGCCCGGCCCCGGTGGGCAGGGGCCCAGCCTGCGCTGCATGACTGCCCGGCTGCTTCCTGCTGCCGCCAACTCCGCCCGAACGGTGGGTAGCGGGGAGACGTGTACAGTCGGCCCGGGTTGGCAGGTCGACCCTGCCAGCTCAAGGGTACCCTTGTGTCCTGTGCCTCGCGACACGTGCCTTCTTACACTCCTGTGGCGATGTGACCCTCGGAAGGGTCTTGTGTCCTCTCGCGTGTCCTGCCCAATCAAGGCCGACTGTGTGCCGCACCGCTCTCAGGCTGCCATCTACAGCAACATGGTGATCAACCTGGCGCCAGGCTCGCCAGCGCCCGGCGGCGGCAGCAGACCCCCGCTGGTCGGCGCGGCGAGGACGAAACCAGTAGTGCGCAGCAGCCCCTCCCTGCCCGATCCCCGAGACCCCCCGTTCGTCCGGCCCGAGAGTGGAGGAGGAGGGGCGAGGGAGGAAAACAAAGAGGAGGAGGAGGAGGAGGAGGAGACGGAGGAGAGAGATTGGACGTGACTGCTCGTCAGACGGCAAGGCCAGGCTCGCAGCGAAACCCGGCTTGTCTCTGGGCGCTGGAGCCCCCACGAGGGGGAACGATATCCCTCATCATATGACACTGGCTTTTTCCAGTCGCGTCCGACGAGATCGGTCGCTACCGATTTTGCTTCAGAATTCGGTATCAGTAACGGCCGATGTGCTTCAGAATCGGTCGCGACCGATCGGTCGCGACGCATCGGTCGCGATCGGTGGCGACCAGTTGGAATCCACTGCCCCTCTGTTGCGCGGCAGTTGCATAGGAGGGGGGACGGAGGACACGGTGTTTATACAGTTTGGAGGAATGGGTGAATTCAGTAGGGGTCGGGACTGACATGCCTCGAAGAACTCGCGCTCACCCGAATTGCAGTCATTTGGTATACCCGCGGACCGTCGATATTTGGTGTTCCGCCGTTGTCCTCCTCCTCCTTGCTCCCACCTCCTTTCTCTACCCCCTGGATGGGGTCGAAGGCGGCCGCGGCTCCAGTGGAGGAGCGTTCCTTTTTCTCCTCCCCCTCATTCCTCGCTCCTCCTGTTTGCATTTCTGCTCCACCAGCCGTCGTCCCACCTTGTCCTCCCTCCTTGTTCCAAGAAAGGCAAGTCATGGGGTCGCGCGCCCGCGTTCGCATTGCACTGCCCCTTCGGTATCTGGGCACAGCGAACCAGCTAAGTAGAGGGCATGGCCAATGCAGACGTTCGGGGCGCAGTCCAAGCGCGGGCGGCGCCAGTCGCCAAACACAGGCGCTAACATGTAAAGTGGTTGGTGCCTGCGGCAAGGTCCGCCACCGTGCCAGCGCAGCGGTCCGAACGGCGACGCATCGAGCTATGTTTGATCAGACGTCCGGGACATGCGACATCTGTCATGTTGTCGGGCTGGCGTCGGGCCTCTTTTGGGGGGTCCTTCGGAGACCTCTTGAGGCATAGTGGTGTCGTTGGAGCCATCCTTGGCGCCACGTTCCACGGTGGCCGCCCTGGGCACAGGATGTGTGCATTTGCAGTCCCTGGGGGCCGCCCTGGGCGAGGGAGGTGTGCATTCGCGCTCCCCCCTAGCTTGGGACGTCGACTTCGGTTCTGGTTTGGCAAAGTAGGGGTACCTTTGAGGTGACAAGCGTTTTCACTTCCGAAATATACAGATCAAGGTGTGATATGTGTACACAGCTCGTGTCGTCAACTGTCACTGTCCGTTTACACATATATTGTGGTGTGATCTGTGTACACAAGTCGTGTTCCTATCTGTGTATTTGGAGTGTGCTCCTCGCGGGTGGCGGTGACTGGGCGGGAAGTTTCGCGTTTCTCTCGGCTTGTCGTCGGGGGAAGGGGGGGGGGGCGTTGCACGTTGGCGACGTACACAATTCGTGTGTCCAATTGTGCACGTGCTGCGCGCTACCGGCTGGAGCGGCGCCTGGGCGGGAGTTCCCGCCGATATCTTTGTTGGTCACGAAGGTGGCCGTGGTCTGGGAGGACAAAAGCGCGGGCGCCTGGGGATGATGCGAGATGGGAGGGGAGAGGTGCGAGAGAAGAGGTGGCGACGGGGCCGGGGGGATGAAAAGGGGGGAGAGGGGGAGAGAGAATGGGCCCAGGAGGAACTGCAGCATCGGTGCCACATCACGAGGATGAGGAAAGCGGGGGGGGCAACAGGAGGTGTAATGAACTGCGCATGGCCGTAGGGGAGGGGGGGGCGGCGAGGGCGCTGATGGGAGGGGGCGTGTCGGGCGGAGAAAAGCGAGGAGGAACGCCACGCAGCGGCAGAATGGGGTGGGATAGTGACGTGGAGAAAGAGGGGCATGATGAGAAGGGGGGAGTTGGATGGGCACGAGGAGGATGAGGCGAAGGGGACGGGTCATGGGGAAAAGGAGGGGGATGGTGCACGAGGGTGGTGCGGACGTGAACTACCGCTCATCTGGGCGGCGTTTTGGGTGCCTGTGCAAGAACATAAGACAGAGGTGCCGGCTGCATACCAAGGTTGTCAGGGTCGTCGCGCGCGGCGTGCGTCCAGGCCAAAACGTTCGAGTCCACGACGCTCCTTTGCGCCGTGTTGATGCCGCCCGTTTTCACCAGACCGCGCACACACAGATTGGCGGAATATGTGTTGCAACGTTTGCCTCGTGACCTCGTCTTATAGTAACAGACCAACGTTGGAATCCAATCGACCAACCGCGACCGGTTTTGGGATCGGCCGCGATCGGCCGCGACCGCTTTGGAGTGCCCATCGTTCGCCACCGCTCGCGACCGAAAATGTTCGGCATTCAAGGTTCTGGGTTCGGTCGGCGGCGGGCCAGGAGGGCAAACATTAGAAGGAGGAGGCCTTTTCGGAAGGCGACGGGGCTTTTCAGAGGCCCCCGCGCCTTCCGAGGGGACTGCTCTGTATGCACTTCCCCCCCGCCGCTCGCCGCCGGCCAGGGGCAACGTGAGAGAGGGCGGATGGGTTCAGGGCGGGCGCACCGATGGGCCCCCCGAGCGCCCATGGATCGCCGTTGCGGGGCCCGCCGGCCTTCCCCGCCCAGGGCCGTGCGGATCTGCCCTCGGGGGGCCCATGGCCGACCTTGCTGCGGCGACGCATCGCCGCCTCGAGCTCAAACATTTGCCACCCACCCCCAAACTTCCCTCGCCCCCCCTCCAACCGTACACGTTGTTGATTTTTAAGTATTCGAGATGTCTTATTTTTTGGGGGGGCAAGATCCTTTGATTATTCGTTGTTCTATCCTGGGCCTCTTCCTGGCCCCTGGGGGGCCAGGGCCAAGTAGAAACGAGCACAATTAGAAATGAGCACGATTAGAATAGGCTGCTCCCCTTGTGCTCAAAGACCGCATCCCAGAAAGAATCTCGAGCGCCCAGAACAGTATCGAAACATTGTCGAACGAACATCGCCGCCCAGGGCCCGACACGTGAAGTCCCTCCATTTTCGAGGCTTCCCTTGTGCTGGATTTCTTCCTGGTGCCCAAGGCTAAAGCAGGTAGGCACATGGCAACTCGAACCTCATTCCCTCTGCTCTCCCATCGGAGGGCGCCGCGCCCAGGGCTGCAGACGCGCTTCGTGGACAGCGACCTCCACTGCAACTCGGGCGGGGAGTTCCAGACGGCGCTGAACACCGAGGCCAGGGCGCGGCTGCGCCGACGGCGCCGACGGCGACGACCCGAAGAAAAACACATTGCACAAACACATACGTTCGGAGCTCCAGGCGGACTCATTGGATCTGCACTGGAGCCCCCTTCGCGCGCCAGGCAAGGGGCTCGCGCCGATCGAAGCAATCCGCGTGGAGCTCCGAAAGTTTATGCTTACGATGTATGTTATTTTCTCAGGGTCCATTTCCCAGTCGGCCCGACGCCGTTATTGCGATGTTGTGCGCGTTTCCGCTGCCGACCGGATTCCATTCCTACTTCGTGCCGATGCGGTCCGCTCCGATTCGCATGCCGATTCAGTCCGGTTTCCCGGTTCGATGCTCGCCGATCCCGCCTCTACAGTCGGACCGAGGTATAAGATCGAGGTCGGTTCGGGGAGGGTGCCTTCGTGCTCTTCGTGCTTATTGGATGTTCTCATGCATCCTGGGGGGGGTCCTCGAATGCTCTTCATCTTGGCCGGCGGAGGGTCTCGTGTTCTTGAAGGATGTTATTATGTCCCAGGTCCGGCTGTAGGCAACGGCGCTAGCAGCGGAAAAAGGCGGCCGCGACACGGCCAGCCGCCAGAGGAGCGCACGGCAGCGGCGCTGGCGCGGACGGCGTAGGCGCGGACGGCGGCGGCGGCACGGCCAGCAGCCAGTGCCGACCACGCGCAGAGGGGGGCTAGAGGGGAGGGGGGAGGGCTTCTTAGAAGGAGGCTGCTTCTCAGACGGCGCTGGCCTTGCACCGAAAGAGACGGCCCGCGCCTTCCGAGAAGCGGCCGCCTTCCGAGAAGCCTCCCCACCTTCCCGCCGCCCTTCTAGCCCCCCTCTGCGCGTGGCCGACGGTGGCCCGCGGTGCGCCGGGCGTGCGCCTCGTCGAAGGTGAGGCGGTGCGAGAGGGGTGCGAAAGCATGGGCTTTGGGACCAGCAGCAGCTCTTGATCGGTCTGGGCAGGATCTGCGGTTGTGGTGCCGCCGTGGACGTTTGTCCACTTGAGGCCGAAGGCCGCCCATCCAGCAGCGGGCGCCGTCGGTGTTGGACAACCCCTTTGCTGATGGACGTGTGCGTGTTTTGTTTTTTGCCTCGGGTTCTTCGCCCCCCTCTGAGGTGACGTGCGGGTTGCGCGCTGCGGCAGAATCCTTCTCCTCCTCCTCCTCCTCTTCCTCCCCCTCCTCCTCCTCCTCCTCCTCCTCCTCCTCCTCCTCCTCTTCCTCCTCGGCATGGCCAGGGCGTGTGCGTTTCGTTCTCGGCGGGAGCTATCGAGGGGCATGTTAGAACGTCCTGCGAACAACCGCGCAGGAGACCGAAGACCTGGGCGCCCCCAGGGCTGCGAGCGACGCCTGAGCTCGCCCAGCGACGAGGCGCCGCCGGACGCCGTCAGGTCTGCCACGGTGGGCACGTGCTTGGGCCAGTCGAAGAAGCTGTTGAATCTGGTGGGCAAGTGCTTCGACCAGTCGAGGGGGAAAGAAACACAATGAATCGTCGACTCCCAGGAAAATATTGGAAAATATGGGAAGTGGGGGGGGGAGACAAAAAACCCGAAAATATGTGGATTTCCGAGCCGATCTATCAGTAGCCCTTCCGGGGGAGGCGCAGAACGGCGTCGCGCGCTGCGGGCGACACCTCGGGACCGCCAATCTTTTTGGCCCCGCGGATTGGGGAGACCGAGTCACAGTACATCGAACATCGTGAACCATGCCACCGCCAGCTACGCACGCTGCATCGCGCTGTTATTCGGGCCCCCATTCCAGCCTGAGGTTCACCGCGGGAACTTCGGGGGCCCCAGCGAATCCCAAAGCGCGGCCCGTTCTGAGACGCAGAGGGCCATATGAGCCCCATCCGCGATTCCGACTGCCACGAGTGGCCCCCAGAGGCCCCCGAGGGTTTTAGAGGTTCTGACACGAGGTACTCGCCCCGCTGCCGTGAGCACTGCGGCTGAGCGGCCTGCGCAGAGGAGAGGAGGAGGGGCTCCATCGGGGCCCCCGCGAGGTGGAACGTTTTCTGGCGCCCATGGGAATCGAGGAGGTGGCGGCGCGGTGGGGAGCCGTTCTGCGCATCCGACGCGCACGGAATATGATTCGGCGCACGGGGCAGGGTTTTTTGTTCCCCCCCGGGCCCAGGCTCGGGCAACTCGCCCCGCGCCGGGGACTTCCAGGTAGCCCAGGAGTCAGTCTCCCAAGCGTTTCGCCTCCAGGCACCCAGATAGTCCCCGGGCCCCCGAGCATTTTGAAGTGGGCGATCTTGGCCCCCGCGGAGTGTTCTTTTCTTTTCGCCCACGGCATTGTTCCATCTTCCTAGTTTTATTGTCACCCCCCTGCCCCCCCAGGGTGCGTGGAAAACGGCGCAGGGTGGCGACTCTCACCGAGCTTTTCTGCTTCCCGCAATCCATAGCCGCTGTGCCCCGAGCCTCTCGCGACGGCGCCCTCGCGCGAGCGCACTTGGATCCGCCGCCGCAAACTGCGGCGAAGGTCGATTGGGTATGGGACCCCGCGGCGCGGGCTCGGCCGACGGAGCTCCTGCGGAGTTCGCGATGTCTGGCCCAGGCTCACCGCGCCGGCTCCGGCCCGCTGTCCAGCCGCGGGGCCGGCGGACCTCCCCCCGCCGAGCTGCTGCCCCAACCCCGCGGCCCGAACGCGACGAGCACGGGCGCAGCGCAGCCGCCGCCGACCCCGCCCAGCAAGAACTCTGGCTGCAGTTGCAGGCGCTTGGCTCGAGCAGCAACAGGTGCGCCTGCCGCTGCAGAAGCAGCAGCACCACGTGGCGCTCGCAGCGGTGCTTGCGACGCCGCCGAGTGGGCTCGGCCAGGCAACGCCGGGCCCAGTCGCCGCCGCCGCCGCTCGCGGCCGCGCCGACAGGAAAGCGAACCGCCGCTTGGCCAGCCGCCTCCGCCACCGGCTAGCAGGCGACGGGGCCCGCAGCGGCAGCGCCCTCGGTGGGATTTGCCGCGGGGGCTTCGCCTGCCAAGCCCGGCGCCCCTGCTTGGCCAACCGCGCAGCGCCGCCGCCGCAGCTAGCGCGCGGCCACGGCCGCCAGCGCTGCCGCCTGGCCGGCCGCGGCACCCGCCGCGCGCCCACCCTGGGCAGCCGCCGCCGGCGCCGCCCCGCCCGCCGCGGCACCTGCGGCGGGAGCGCCCTGGGCGGGAGGGAGGGCGCCCCCAGCGAAGCTCGACGCCGCACGGCCGCGCGCCGCGCCTTCGCTGGGAGGGGGTCCGGCGCAGCCGGCCGCGGCCCCCGCGGTGGCATGGGCGCCCTCGGCCGCGCTGGCCGCGGGGGCGCCCCTCGCGAAGCCCGGCGCCGGACGTGGCCGCCAACCGCTGGGGAGGGGACCGAAACTGCCCAGAGCCGCCGCTGCCTGCCCCGGGGGGGCCCCGCCGCGCAGTCTCTGCCCGACGCCCAGGCCTGCCGCGGCAAGCGAGACGGCTGGCGCCACACTCGCGGCAGCGCTCTCGGCGCCGCTTGCGGCTTCGCGGGGGGCTGGCCCGCGCCGGCTCCTCGTCCCCACCCCCCGTCCTCCTCCTCCTCCTCCTCCTGCTCCTCCTCCTCCTCCTCCTCCTCCTCCTCCTCCTCCTCCTCCTCCTCGTCCTCCTTTTCCTCCCCCTCCTCCTCCTTTTTCTCCTCATCCTCATCCTCCTCCTCATCCTCCTCCTTCTCCTCCTCCTCTGCATCATCATTCTTATCCTCATCTTCATCCTCATCCTCATCCTCATCCTCCTTTTCCTCCTCCTCCTCTTCCTCCTCCTCCTCTTCCTCCTCCACCTCCTCCACCTCTCTTTTACGTCCGCCTCCTCCCGCCACCGTCCCACTCCTCCTTTTTTCCACCTCCGTTTTTAGTCCCGCCTGTGCCCGCCATTCTCCGCTCAATGCACTCGCCCTGCCACCGCCCTGCTCCATCCGACCCCCCGGTTTTTTCCATTCACATGCCGCGGCTCCTCCCTTTGGGGGGGGCCTCCCCAGAGCCTTCCCCGAGCTCCCCCAGGAGGCCCCCAGAAATTCCTTGCAGAATAGCCAAAACGACCCCACGACGGTCTCGGGAGGCCCCTGGGGGGCTGCGCCAGGAACTGTCCAGCAGGCCATCACAGTGCTGCACAGGGCTCCCAAGAAGGCCAACCCAGTCAAAGACCGAGGGCCTTCTCTCTTCTGAAGGTTCCATGTGTTGCCAACGCGTGGCTCCAAGATGTCTTCGGCGGCTCAAATGGTCCCGGAGAGCGTTGCGAGTTTCATCCGAGGTCGCCCAGGACTATCGCGTGTATTACTATATGTATGTATGCACACACTCACGTATGAACAGTGGGAAACCACCCCAGCCCTCACAACCATGGATGTTTCATGTCAGCGTTTTGCATGTATGGCGAATGTGCGTAAGTGTAGGCGCCTTGTCGGCGAGGCCATTGCCAGCTGCCGCAGTGGGGCCCGCGCGCGCGGCGATGTGCTGGGCCCACTCGACGCGGTCGCTCCCGCGCCGGCATTCCCAGGGCCGCGCGTGCCACGGCCGCGGCATGCAGTTTGAGGCGATGGCGGCGTTGTCCCTCGCACGGCAGCGTCGCTGGCCCAGCCGCGGGCCCCCGCCCCCGTTTCCGCCGCTCCCATCGGAATCCGCCGGCGGAAAAAGTTTAGATCGGGAGCGTTTCTCTGGAAGCAAGAGTTCCGATAGAGATTTCTGGGACTTTCATATGAACGTATTTTTTTATATAAGCTGTTCGGGGTTCTCCCGCGCGAGACCTGTCGCTTCGGAGAAGTTTAGACCGGTCTTATACAGAGCGTATAAAAACTTGTTTCGCCTGGTGCCTAAGCTTTGTTTTCGGGGTGGACCTACACTTTTCGATGCGCGCCCCCGTACTGGGCGGGTGCCAGGCGCCTTCCCGGGCTCTTGCTGGCGCCGCCAAGAGCCGACGCGCCTCTGGCACGAACGCGCGAACATCCACAATGACCCGGGGCATTGACAGCGCGCCAGCACAAGGCAACGCCAAGTTCATCAAACGCCAGCGAGCGTAGCAGCAGCGCGCCGTTCGCATTGAATTGCGCGGCGTTGTCATTGGTTGACCGTTGAGCTGTTTCCGCTTGCGGTTTACGCGTCGTTTGACGGCCACGTGGGGGGAGTGGCGGGTGCTCTTTTTTTTTATTATTATTATTGTTTAAAACAAAAAAAAAAAAACGCGCTCAACGTATACGAATATGTAGTGTGTATAATTAGAAATTTGGAGATGGAGAGGTCGAGACTGAGAGAGAGAGAGAGAGAGAACGACATAAATATATACAGCAAAGAGAGAGAGAGAGAGAGAGAGAGAGAGAGAGAGAGAGAGGGACAGAGAGATATACAGAAACAAGCAGACAGAGAGAGAGAGATGGGGCCTGTCAGGCTTCAACAAATACGCACGCACAGGGCGAGCTGTGAAGAAAAAGAAAGAAAACGAGAGAGAGAGAGAGATCCACACATACATACATATATACATATATATGTATACATATCTACATGTATAGATATACGTATATGCTAAGAGCGAGAATGAGGTGGAGGAGCTGCGACGTACGGGACCGAAAAGCCAGGAGCCGAGAACGAGGAAACAAACAGCAGAGGAGTGAGGGGGACAGGGGGAGGAGGGAAGGGGAAGGAGGAGGAAGAGCAGGAGGAGGAGAAGGAGGATCACGAGGGTCAGGCGGAAGAGGATGGGAGGAGGAGGGGGAGGAGGAGGAGGAGGAGGAGGAGGAGGAGGAGGAGGAGGAGGAGGAAGAGGAAAAGGAGGAGGGGACGGCATGGCGGCGCGAGAAAAATTAGCCTGGCGAAGGACCCAACCATATGCAGTTGTGAATGCCGCAATTGTGCTGGGTGGTGGCGGACGCATGCGGGCGGTGCCATTGGGACCTTCGGTGGAGCTCCCTATGGGGCCACGAAACGCTGTACTGGGTGGGCGAGGCGCGGTCAGCAAGGGCTGTGCTGCGTGGCGGCGGACGCATGCGAGCGGTGCCACTGGAACCTTCGGTGGAGCTCCCTATGGGGCCACGAAGCGCTGTACTGGGTGGGTGAAACGCAGGCAGGGAACAACGGCTGTGCAGGGTGGTGGCGGACGCATGCGGGCGGTGCCGCTGGGACCTTTGGTGGAGCTCCCTATAGGGCTACGAAGCGCTGTTTTGGGTGGGTGAAGCGCGGGGAACAAGGGCTGTGCTGGGTGGTGGCGGACGCAAGCGGGCAGTGCCACTGGGACCTTTGGTGGAGCCCCCTTATGGGGCCACGAAGCGTGCGAGGGGTGTGCCAGAATTGGGTGTGGAACCGCATGCCTGCGCAGCCACTGGGGCCTTCGGTGGAGCTCCCTATGGAGCCACGAAACGTGTGAGGGGTGTGCCGAAATGGTGGGCGGAACCGCATGCGAGCGCAGCCACTGCGGCGTTCGGTGGAGCTCCCTATGGGGCCACGAAACGTGTGAAGGGCGTGCCGAAAACGGGTGTGGAACCGCATGCGAGCGCAGCCATTGGGGCCTTCGGTGGAGCTCTCTATGGGGCCACGAACCGTGTGAGGGGTGTGCCGAATTGGGGGGGTGGAACCGCATGCGGGCGCAGCCACTGGGGCGTTCGGTGGAGCTCCCCATGGAGCCACCCACGCAGCGTGTGATGGGTGTGCCGAAATGCGGGGTGGAACCGCATGCGGGCGCAGCCACTGGGGCCTTCGGTGGAGCTCCCTATGGGGCCACGAAACGTGTGAGGGGTGTGCCGAACCGGGGGGTGGAACCGCATGCGGGCGCAGCCACTGGGGCCTTCGGTCGGGCTCCCTATGGGGCCACGAAACGTGTGAGGGGTGTGCCAGAATTGGGGGTGGAACCGCATGCGGGCGCAGCCACTGGGGCCTTCGGTGGAGCTCCCTATGGAGCCACGAAACGTGTGAGGGGTGTGCCAGAATGGGGGGTGGAACCGCATGCGGGCGCAGCCACTGGGGCCTTCGGTGGAGCTCCCTATGGGGCCACGAAACGTGTGAGGGGTGTGCCAGAATGGGGGGTGGAACCGCATGCGGGCGCAGCCACTGGGGCCTTCGGTGGAGCTCCCTATGGGGCCACGAAACGTGTGAGGGGTGTGCCAGAATGGGGGGTGGAACCGCATGCGGGCGCAGCCACTGGGGCCTTCGGTGGAGCTCCCTATGGGGCCACGAAACGTGTGAGGGGTGTGCCAGAATGGGGGGTGGAACCGCATGCGGGCGCAGCCACTGGGGCCTTCGGTGGAGCTCCCTATGGGGCCACGAAACGTGTGAGGGGTGTGCCAGAATGGGGGGTGGAACCGCATGCGGGCGCAGCCACTGGGGCCTTCGGTGGAGCTCCCTATGGGGCCACGAAACGTGTGAGGGGTGTGCCAGAATGGGGGGTGGAACCGCATGCGGGCGCAGCCACTGGGGCCTTCGGTGGAGCTCCCTATGGGGCCACGAAACGTGTGAGGGGTGTGCCAGAATGGGGGGTGGAACCGCATGCGGGCGCAGCCACTGGGGCCTTCGGTGGAGCTCCCTATGGGGCCACGAAACGTGTGAGGGGTGTGCCAGAATGGGGGGTGGAACCGCATGCGGGCGCAGCCACTGGGGCCTTCGGTGGAGCTCCCTATGGGGCCACGAAACGTGTGAGGGGTGTGCCAGAATGGGGGGTGGAACCGCATGCGGGCGCAGCCACTGGGGCCTTCGGTGGAGCTCCCTATGGGGCCACGAAACGTGTGAGGGGTGTGCCAGAATGGGGGGTGGAACCGCATGCGGGCGCAGCCACTGGGGCCTTCGGTGGAGCTCCCTATGGGGCCACGAAACGTGTGAGGGGTGTGCCAGAATGGGGGGGGAACCGCATGCGGGCGCAGCCACTGGGGCCTTCGGTGGAGCTCCCTATGGGGCCACGAAACGTGTGAGGGGTGTGCCAGAATGGGGGGTGGAACCGCATGCGGGCGCAGCCACTGGGGCCTTCGGTGGAGCTCCCTATGGGGCCACGAAACGTGTGAGGGGTGTGCCAGAATGGGGGGTGGAACCGCATGCAGGCGCAGCCACTGGGGCCTTCGGTGGAGCTCCCTATGGGGCCACGAAACGTGTGAGGGGTGTGCCAGAATGGGTGTGGGAGGGGGGGAGGGGGGAGGAGGGAGGGAGGAAGGAGGCGGGAACGCGGGGCACCGTCTCTTCAAAACGAGGACCCAACACCACAGGATGTTTGGAAAAAAGGGGGAGGAGGGGGAAGGGGAAAAAGAGGAGGAGGAGGAGGAGGAGGAGGGGGGACAGGGGAGGCCGAGGGAGGAGGAGGAGGAGGAGGGGTCAGGAGGGCGGCGGAGCAAAGGTGCACAGGACGGGAGAGGGCAGAAGGTGTGAGGCCCGAGAAGAGGCAAGGATCGACTACACGTAAGAATGACCCGTCGCTGAATTGACCTTCGGTGCGGGTTCATTGGGGTCCCACGATCGCCAAACGCGATGCGATAGTAGCGTCTTGCACGCTTGTGTCTGCTCCTCCCGCGGCCTTCAAAAAGCCGCCCACCAAAACACATTCGTCCCCAGCGCCATTGTTGCGTGTAGCTGAGAGGAGGGACGGACGGCCAGGGAACGGGACGACGACACGACGATGACGACGACGACGACGACGACGACGACGACGACGGCGACGGCGACGGCGACGGCGACGGCGACGGCGACGGCGACGGCGACGGCGACGGCGACGGCGACGGCGACGGCGGCGACGAGCACGAGCACGACGACGACGACGACGACGAGGACGAGGATGGCGGGTGCGGCGGCGGCGGCGGTCGCGGGGGCGGCGGCGACGACGACGCGGCGGCGGCGCGGCGGCGGCGGCGGCCGCGGCGGCCGCGCCGGCCGCGCCGGCGGAGATCTTCCTGGCGGTCTGGAAGAAGCTGCTCTCCGACCAGCGCTACGCGCTCCACGACTGGACCGTCAAGGCGCGCGCCTCCGCAGCGGCGGGGGGCGGCTGCTGCTGGGGGGCCAGGGCCAGTAGGGGAGAGGGGTGCTCAAAAAGCGGGAGCAGGCTGGAGGAGGATGGAGGGGGAGGAGGAGGAGTAGGAGGATGTGGGAGGAGGAGGATGTAGGAGGAGGAGGAGGAGGAGGAGGAGGATGAGGAGGAGGAGTTGGAGGAGGAGGGTGATGATGATGAGTAGGTTGAAGCAGGAGCAGGTGTTGATGTTGATGGTGGTGGTGGTGACGGACTTGCTGATGCTGATAGCGATGGTGATCGTGGTGGTGATGGTAATGGTGATGCTGATGATGATAACGACGACGACGACGACGGCAGCGACGACGACGACGATGCGTATGGTGATGATGATGATGATGATGATGATGAAGCTGATCATGATGATGAGAATACTGAATATGATGATGCTGATGATGATGCCGATGATGATGATGATGATGACGATGATGATGATGTCGATGCTAGCGATAATGAGGTCGATGACGATGACGACGGTCTTGATGATGAGTTTGATGATGATGCTGACGACGATGATATTGCTGGTGATGATTATTATTTGTATGATGATGATGATGATGATGATGATGATGATGATGATGATGATGATGATGAGTATGAACATGCTTATGCTTATGGTGATGATGCTGATGACGACGAGTCTGATGATGATGCTGCTAGTGATGATGACTAGGATGGCGACGATGATGATGATAAGAATGATCATGATGATAATGATGAGTCTGATGATGATGGTGGTGGTGGTAGTGAAGGTGATGATGACGATATTGATGATTATGGTGATGATGGCGATCATAATGCTGATGCCGATGATGATGCGGATGGTGATGATGACGATGAAGGTGATGATAATGAGGTTGATGATGATGATGCTGATGCTGATGTTGATGATGCTGATGATGATGGTGGTGCTGATGATGGTGATGTGGCTAGTGTGGCTGTTGATGATGATGGTGATGATGATGTTGATGCAGGCGACCACGACGATGGTGGAGATGGTATCGGCGGTGATGATGATGTGGATGATGATGACGATGATGATGATGTTGGTGACGGTAATGGTGAAGATGATGTTGGTGATGGCGATGGTGATGGTGATGCTGGTAGTGGAATGGTGATGCTGGTGGTGGTGGCAACGATTGGTGATTACGATAGTGACGATCAGGGCGATGGTGATGTTATTGATGTGAATGGTAGTCATGCTGATGCTGATGTTGATGGTGGCATTGATGCTGATGGTTATTGACAATGACGAGGATGAGGGGACGCAGAAGGAGGCATGATGAGAGTAAGAGGGTAGAGGATGCAGACTGAGAGAAGGAGTGGACGCAAGATGAGAGGAGGAGAGGACGCAGGAGGAGAGGACGTAGGAAGAAAGGATGAGAGTAAGGGATGATGTGGAGGAGGGGGAGGGAAGAGTAATGACGAGTGGGAGCGAAAAAGAGGGGGCGAGGAAAAGAAGCAGGGGGTGAGTGAGGAGGCTGAGGAAGAGGGGGAGGAGGAGAAGGAGAAGGACGAGGAGAGGAGAAGAAGAGGAATAAGATGAGGAGAGGAAGAGAAGGAGGAGGAGGAGGAGGAGGGAGAGAGGAGGAGGGAAGAGGGAGGAGGAGGATTGAGGAGGAGAGGAGAGGAGAGGAGAGGAGAGGAGAGGAGAGGAGAGGAGAGGAGAGGAGAGGAGAGGCGAGGAGAGGAAGGAGGAGAGGAGGAAGGAGGAAGGAGGAGAGGAGGAAGGAGGAGGCAGCAGAAAGCAATACGATGTGGAACAGCAGCAGGGCGAGAGGGGTTGTACGGAGGGGGAGGAGGAGGAGGGGGTCAGGAGGAGGAGGAGGAGGAGGAGGAGGAGGAGGTGGGAGCAGGAGTTGGAGAGGGAGGAGGAGGAGGAGGAGGAGGAGGAGGAGGAGGAGGGGGAGGAGGAGGAGGAGGAGGAGGAGGAGGAGGGGTATAGGGAAGAAGAGAAAAAAAGGAAGGAGGGATGAATCGTTTCAGCAGCGGCTTTGCAGCGAGCGTGTCTTAACATCCTCGGAGAGGCCAGGTTGACGTGCGAGCTCGTCAGCATACGGGAAAGTTCGGACATCTCTCGGCCAGAAAAAAAAGCGTGGGAACGTGCTTCTGCACGCCGATCGTCCCCCTCCCCCTATCCTTTCCTCTTCATCCTCCTGACCTTGCCGCACCTTCCTCTGCTCCTTCCTCGATCCTCTCGATCCCGCATCCCATCTCCCCTCCTCCCATGATGCGCAAACACATGGATCGTTTGTCGTCCAACCTTCCTTGCGGCTGGATTCACTAAGTGTACCGCGGTTGCAGGGGGGGGATCTGCTGCTTGCCGCTGGGTTCGGCATCGGCCTGGCCGCCAAGCACTGCCCTCTCGATACGTTCGCTGGCGCCTCGGGGCGCCAGGAGACGCCTGAGAAGCCAGCTGCGCGAGCTGGTCTGGTGTCCCCCCTCCCTGGGGCCGTCTCGGGGCGTTCCAGGTGGGCGACAGGCCTCGGCCGCTACGGCGGTGGCCACGGCGTTGAGCCGGGCGCCGAGCTCGTGAGGACAGGATCGGTTAGACGTAAGAGTGACCCTTCGCTGGAGTGACCTTTGGGTGCGGGCCCACGGCGGTCTCCCGATCGTCGAGCACGAAGCGGCAGTGGCGTCTTGCGCGCCTGCTTTTGGCCCCCCCGCGGCCCCGGAAAAGGCGCGCACCAAAGGTCACTCTTACCCAGGGTCACCCTTGCGTGTAGCCGATCATCGGGCGGAGATGTCACGAAGCCCAAACCGAGAGTGGGAAGGGCAAGCTAGGTGCGCAAGCACGTCCTGCCCCTCCCTCCCAACCCTTGACATTGCGTAGATCCCCTCTCGATTCGCATGGTCGGATATCGAGCAGGGCAATGATCCCGAGAGAGTACGCGATGCATGGTACAGCACGGCATGGCATAGCATCGCGTCGAGAACGCGACTCGTTTCGACAACACGGTCAGAAAGGGAATCAGACATGACGCAGGACGGGCAGCGGGAAGGGAGAGCACAGGGTGGGGGTGGCCGCCGCAATCGTTGTCGACGTCGCCGCTGCCGTCCTCGTCGTCGGCGGCGTCGGTCGATGACCGATCGATCGAGGATCGAGGTTCGAGAAGGTTTTTGGTTGCTCTTGGCAGCAGAAGCAGCGGGGCGTCGGTCGAGGACTGATCGATCAAGGATCGAGGTTCGAGAGGGCGTTTGGTTGTTCTCGGCGGCAGAAGCCGTGGAGCGGTGGCACGGTGCTTCCGCCTGCGCCAGCAGGCGCAGGGCAATGGCTGTCGTCGTCGTCGTCGTCGTGGTCGTGGTCGTGGTCGTGCTGGTCGTTCTCGTCGTGGTCGCCGTCGCCGCCATCGTCGCCGCCGTCGTCGTCACCTCTTGTTCGTCGCCGTCCGTCAGCGGCCCTCGCCGCCGTGGGGGAAGCATTAAGTCGGGCCTGTCCATCTACAGGAATGATATTCAAACAATAGTTTCAAACAATTGTCTGGGGAGAATGTTGCTTGTATGTTTTGGCATTGTTTGAATATTTGGTGGGGCATTTTTTCGTCCAAAATCCGCCGGTAGGAGGCCATGCCCGACCTAAGGGAAGCGGGCCCTGAGGTGGAGGATCAAAAGGCGGCACACACGTCAGTTCTCGGAGGTCCGCGCGGCCTTTCAAGTGAGCGTCAACACTAAGAGGGCAAACAACTCACCGTCGGGGGCCTCTGGGCCACGAGTTAGCACCAGGGAAGATGGCCCTGCAGAGTGAAATACCCAAGCCAGCGCCCAACTCTCACATCCACTTCAACGTTTGCAACTGCCCCCCCCCCCCAACATAGACCCAGACCTCCAGCGTCTTGGACAAGAACGGAACGGATGTCTTCCATTGCTTTCGGGGTCTGGAGGTCATTTCCGGTGACCTGGGACGAACACTATCCCAAGGAAGCTGGATAGAGGTCTGTGGGGGGCGTGCTGGAAACAGTCAAGACATCGGATGTTTGGGAAAGGTGCGGTGTTTCGCCCAAGGTAGCCTGCATCTGTGTGTCGCGTCGGCCGTGGACAAACAATTCCGCTAACCAATTGATGCAACCTGGTGGACGTCCAATGGTCTTGCATCCGTGCCTTGATTCATTATGATTGGCCACGACTGTAGATCTGGGCGCTGGCGAGAATGCCCCGCGGTCTCCGTCATCTAGGGGATTCTGCAGCCAGCGTTTTGGGGGAACGAGCCGATTTCGTCCAGATCCAGACCTGGCGAGGTACAAAGCCCTCGAGCTCGAAAGCCCTCGTGTTACTTGCCATCGGCCTTCCAGCGACAAACAAAAACTTGCCATCGCCATTTCTAGCCCAGCCGAAGTCGAGGAATCGATTCCTGCGCGCATGTGTTCTGTGAACTGCGCCTGACACGTGACAAGCCATCGAAATCACGCTGGCGAGCAAGATTCCTAGGTCCTAGGTCGGTGTGGCTGGCCAGGCTGGCTGGGCCGACCGTGGTGGTGGCGGAAGGTTTACAAGGCCAGCAGGATTCGGGCTGGGCTGGGCTTGGCTGGCCTGGCGTGGCTTGTGGAGTTGGCTGGGCTGCTTGGGCGGGCTGGAGTGAGGCACACGAGATGAGCACTGGCCCAAGGCACATACTCCAAATCCTTATTAATCGACCCCCCCCCTAAAAAACCAGACCCCCCTCCAAATGCGACCTAATATTCCGGACCCCCTCTTCGACGGGGCGCCTTTATAAACCGGACCCCCCAAGCTCCAATCCAAAGAAAGCGCCCTAATAAACCGGACCCCCCCAGTTACCAAAAAGGCGCTCAAAAAAACCGCACCCAGGAGACGATTAATAAGGGATTTGGAATACAGTGATGGAGCCATTCAGTCAACCACTGGGAAACCTTTAGGCACGCCTGGCAAGGGCACTATAATCAAATACTCTCTGCCAAGGCCCACCAAAAATGGCCCAAGCATGCGGGTTCAACACCACGTTGATTGTCGCTTGGCTTGTCCCAGGTTTTTTCGATTGTGCGTGTTGGTCTGGCCACAGTATGCGAATCTGTCGTTGATCCCCCTGCCCCTAAGAGGGCCGCGCTCACCACAGAACACGCCCGGCCAGGTCGACCCCGACTGCGTCTTCCTGCCCTCGTTGTTGCGGCACATGCTGCGGCGGGAGGGGGCCGTGCGAAGCGCGATTGCCTCGGGCGTTGCAGAAGGGTGGCAACTCGGCAGATCCACGCCGCGGTGCCAGCCTCCTGCCGCTCCTCTGGGACCCTTGGCCCCCCACATGCCCCCGCTTCGTCCTCTCCTGCGGCGCGACGCGTGACGCAACCCCGGCCGCCTCCGGGTGATGATGATGATGGTAAGAACGATGATGATGATGATGATGATGATGATGATGATGATGATGATGATGATGATGATGCTGATGCTGATGCTGATGCTGATGCTGATGCTGATGCTGATGATGATGATGATGATGATGATGATGATGATGATGATGATGATGATGATGATGATGATGATGATGATGATGATGATGACCCCGCTCGCCTCTGGATTCTACTCCTCCCCCCGCGTGCCTCCGCCGACGCTCGCGCCCGTCTGCTGCTGCTGCTGCTGCTGCTGCTGCTGCTGCTGCTGCTGCCGCCTCCGCTCTCGCTGCTCCCGCGCCCCTGTGGTGTTGCGCGGCGGGTGACGCCCTCGGCTGCGGCCGCGGCGGCCGCCGAGGCCCGCCCCGGCTGCGGCCTCGGCGGCGGCTGCGGTCTCGCAGCACCTGCCGCGCAGGAGGTGCAGAAGGGGGAGGTCGAGGCTTGGAAGGAGGAGGAGGAAGAGGAGGAGGAGGAGGAGGTGGAGGAGGAGGAGGAGCAGGAGGAGGACGAGGAGGAGGAGCAGGACGAGGAGGAGGAGGAGGACGAGGAGGAGGAGGAGGAGGACGAGGAGGAGGAGAAGACCTCTCGGGAGCCTCTTAGGGCACCCTTGGAGCGTCCTGGGGGCCACCTGGGGGCCTCGACGGGGCCTCTTGGGGGCCCCTTGGGGGCCGCAAGGGCCCCCTTGGGGCCGTCTCAGGGCATTCCTGGCGGGCGACAGGCCTCGGCCGCCACGGCCGTGGGGACGGCACTTGAGCTGGACGCCGAGCTCGTGAGGACAGGGATCGACTGCACGTAAGAGTGACCCTTCGCCAGAGTGACCCTGTATGCACACCCAGTGGGGCCCCCCGATCGCCGAGCGTGGTGTGATAGTAGCGTCTTGTGCGCTTGTGTGTTGGCCCCCCGCGGCCCTCAAGCCGCGCACCGAAGGTCACTCTTACCCAGGATCACTCCTACCCAGGGTCACTCTTGCACGTAGCCGAAGGGAGCCCCGCTCTCGCCCGCCTCTCCAGATTCCCCTGATCATTGGATAATGGAAGTTTCCAGCCGCGACCGACGGCATCGGTCGCTACCGATCTTGCTTCAAAATTCGGTATCGGTCGCGACCTATGTGCTTCAACATCGGCCGCGACCGCTCGGTTGCGATCGGTGGCGACTGGTCGCGACCAGCTTTGGGATCGCTCGCGATCGGGCGCGACCCATCGGGAGTGCCGATCGGTCGCCACCGATCGGTCGCCACCGATCGGTCGCCACCGATCGGTCGCCACCGGTCGATCCGATTCGGTATCCCATGGCCCGGGTGACCACAGGGCGAGGAGAGGCAGGCCGCCCCGCGCGGTGGAGGCCACTCCCCTGAGAGCCGACGTCACGCAAGGGGTGCAGCAGCGTGGAGAGAGTCACGGCCGGAGCCCTGGACCCAATCTTTGCTGCGGCAGTCTTCGGAGGCGGACAGAGCCCCCACCCTGACACGTCGATTCGTGGATTGTCCGTTTGCGGTTCTCGAGAGGGCGCCGCGGCCGTCCTTTTCCGGGCTTGCGCCCGCCAGGTCTGGGCCCGAGGTCGCTTTCACTAAACCACGTTCTACTGAAGAGGGTCCTGTCCATCCCCGAGTTCTTCGAGCCAGAGCCATCTGTGATGGTCCGGGGGCGCGAGAGACTCAGTTTCCCGCAGTTCCCGCAGGTTGATTTGCACGGACCGTGGAGGGGGCGGGGGGGCGGGGGGCGAGGCGAGGCCCGAAAGGGAATCACGGCTTCACGCAGGTCGGTACATACCTGCACGCCGTTTCGGCCCGGCGCTGTTTGAAAAGGCGGCGGCTGGGGGGGCGATGCCATGCAAGCAAACTTGTTGAAGCCCAGAGAAAGACCAGCCTCCACTGCACGAAACCGCTGGATGTGACAAAGATGCGGCGCCAGGGTCTCAGGGTCCTCCTCTGCGGAGGGCGAGGCAGGCCGCCCCACTTGGCGGAGGCCGCTCCTCCTCCGGAGCCGCCTTGGCCTGAGCACGGGATTTGCAGCTGGGTCGCCCGGTTAGTATTACGGCAGGGGCAGCGATAGGGGGGGGATAGGCTCAGGGGAGGACGCATCGACAGCACCCAATCGCCCATTGATCGCCGACAGGGGCCCGATGGCCCACTCCGCCCAGCAACGTGTTGATTCGCTATCGGGGGCCCGTCGCCAATCTATCAGTCTATCGGCGATGTATCGCCGATTGCAGGTCGAGGCTGGACTCCCTGAGGGCAGAGCAACTAAACTCGGCCAGGAGAGCCTCGGCCAGCCTGAACCCGGCCAGCTGAACTCGGCCAGGCTGAACTCGGCCAGGCTGAATTTGGGCCAGGCGGAATTTGGGCCAAGCTGAATCCGGCCTGGGCCGAGTTCGGCCTGGGCCGAGATCAGCTGGCCGAGTTTCGCCTGGCCGAGTTTCGCCTGCCAGTCTTTCCCTTGTCCCCCCCAGCGGGTCCCCCCGCTGACGCTGCCCTTCTTGCGGGGGAACGCAAGACTCGAGTAAGCCAGGACTCGGGTTTGCCGACGTTTTTTGACGAGCGCGTCCTGGATTTTGACCTCCCAGTCTTCGTGGGATGGTTGCAGCGGGAGCTCGCGTCAAATTTCAGATTGGGTCGCGTCATTTGTATGATGGCCCCTTCAGGCCAACCGAGTTCTTCGTACCCGCGTCTTGCGTCTCCCCGATTCTGTACGTACTGAAATCCATGGCTTTCGCGCGCCCGCTGGCGGCGGCGTTGCTGGTGGCTGGTGGCTCTGCGCTGGCCGTCCAGGAGGACCCGGGGCACGACGACTTCGGGCGGAGGATACAGCGAGGCACGTTGGTCGGGTTGACCCTAAAGGGGATCCAGCGACAAAGGGGTGGTGCAATGGATTTGGTGCAATTGATTTGTTGGGGTGCAATACATTTGGGGCGTGCAATACATTCCGGAGCGCAAATGTATTGCTGGATTTTCGTGTGCAGCACATTCGATGCAATACAATGCAATACACTTCTCTGGCGCAGTACATTTGCAAGACAAGTGTCCCAAATCCATTGCACCACCCCCTTGCAGCTGGACCCCCTTTTGGGTCACCCAAAGTCGGGCGACGAGCTTGTCATCGTGCTACTGTGACCGCTCCCCCTCCCCGGAATAGCGCTGTGGATAAACGAGCAACACAAAAACAGCATACACACCAGAGCAGCAGCAGCAGCAGCAATTGCACAACACTGCAACTGTACCTCCCAACGCAAACAGTCAACTACACAAACCGGCAAACAGCCGCCATGAAACAACAACAACGACGACAACAACAACAACAATAACAACAACCATAACAACAACAATGTTTACAATAACAACAACGACATCAACAACAACATCAACAACAACAACAACACAACAACAACACCACCAACCACAACCGCAACAGCAACATCATAAACGAAAACATCAACAGCAACAACAACAACAACAACATCACAACCAGCATCAACATCAACAATAGTTCTACCAAACATATCAGCCAGCGCTGACTCCAAATAGATAGGAGGACAGGAGGAGGACGAGACGAGGATGGGAGGAGGACGAAAGGAGGACGGGAGCAGGACGGGAGGAGAACGGGAGGAGCAAAATCAAGCAAGCGCAAGCAAGTAAGCGGAAGCAAGCAAGGGCATGCGAGCAATAACAAACAAGCAGCAAGAGCCAGCGATCAAGTGCAAGCAAGCAAGGGCAGGCAAGAGCAAGCACGCGAGAGCAAGCACGCATAAGAATACATAGGCATAGGCGTAGGCATATGCGTAGGCATTGGAGTTAGGGGGGAGGCATAGGCATAGGCATAGCCATAGGAATTAGGGGGGGGGGCATCGGAATTCTAGACGCGTATCCCCACCACGCTTGCAGTCAGCTCAGCCAGCTCAGCCTCAGCCAGCTGCCTCCCCGGCGGTAGGTTCTGATCCCGCGCTCGGTCGCTGTGCATTTAGGCTCGCGCGTAGCACCTCCCCTAATTAGATCGGCCCGTGGCCCGGACCTTCCAACTCGGCGCCTGCGCTGTCGCTTGCGCCCGCGAGGAAAAAAAGTGTCCTCACCAGTGTTTCGCCCTGGCGGCTGCCCGCACGGGCCTTGACACGCCGTCGGCGCGCTCGCCTGCGGCTGGCAACAAAAAGTATCCCCACCAGCCCATCCAGAAACGACGCCCAGTCGAGTAGAGGGCCGTCCTGAGGAACTCTTGGGCCCTCGGGGAGGCCTCTTGGGGCCGCTTGGGGTCCTCTTGGGGGCCTCTTGGAGACCGCTTGGGGCCATCGTGGGGCCATCATGGGGCCATCTTGGGGCATCTTGGGGCCTCCTGGGCGCCTCTTGGGGCCATCTTAGAGGAAATCTAGCAAAGAAGAAGGGGGCACTAATTAGGGCCCCCCCCTCAGGAGGCCAAAATGGGGCCAAAACCTAAGTAAAACCAATGAGTTTGGCTTCCTCGCCGAGGCCGTTTTGGACGCCCTGATACCTCGCGAAACCCCCCGTCCAGGTCCAGGGGAGGGGGTAGGGGGAGGGGTAAACCCTTCCCCGAAGGAGAAGAAGGAGGGGTGGAAGAGGAAACTCTCTAAACCACCGTCGCCCGGAGGGCTGGTGGGATTAGGGGGGGAGGCAACGGACCAATTAGTGAGGTTTGAGTTAGAACTCCGATAGGGTAAGCTTATTTGGAGAACAACCCCAGCAACAGCAACAGCAACAACAACATCTTGTCAGGTAGGGCATTCTGCAGTATGGAGTCTGAGTGGATCCGGTATGGATTATTCCGTCCAGGGCGTGGGTTTGAGCATGAAATC